CACAATATTGAACTCAGTATAAGCCCTGTAAGACATAAAATTGAATGAGTTTTTAACCCTCAAAAGAGATCTCCATTTCATTCTAAAATATGCTGTTTCTTACAGAAAGACTCATTGTTTTTGCTAACACTGAGATGTTGGCGCATGCGTCTCTAATCTGTATCTATCTGATCATTACTAGTCATAATTGGACATTTTTAAATCCTTGGCACCTGTGTATGTCTATAAAGTCATCAGGTAGATTTCAGTGGTAATGTTTATCACCTCTACTAATGAACATGATGTAACTTTTTGTGCTTCCTCCTCAAATATAATACATTTTTTAATTTGATGATTTGTGTGTGTGTGTGTGTGTGTGTGTGTGTATCACACAGAACATCCCAAACCATCTTATTCAACTATACCCATTTCCCATGGCACCCTCCTATAGCCTCCCTCCCCCTACTAGAGCCCTTATACTCTGATATCCCTGCTACTGTCTGCTCTGTTGTTGGCATCCCCAGCCATTCCCCATTACTTGTCCATCTGGTGAATCCAGTCAGTCTATCTAGAGGTCTTTGTATTAGGAAGGTCAGCTGTTCCTCATCTAGCAGCAATCAGTTGTCAATATTCCTTTAGATAAGATTGGGGTCTGCTGTTCATTTTCCTAGTTCTATGCTGCGTTACTATTTGGGAGTCCCTTGGGCCACCCAACTCAAAAGAAGGTATCTCCTACTTGTCATTATTGCTTATTATGTAGCCTTTAGCTATATATATGAACTCTTAGAAAATTATATTGGCCCCTTTAATCTTTGGTTATACTTTCCTTTTGGGTGTTTAAGACCATACAGTTGGCCCAGATAGACCAATTTATTTTTACTCTTAAGGCCATTTTATGATCTGTTCCTCAGGGGTTGCATGGGCTTTGGAGGAGACGCTGGCTCCTTTATTTTACCAGTTCCATCTATGTGAAGATAAGTCAAAGGTCATGCTCGACCATGGCTGGCTTCGCTGGGAAGCATGGAGGAAATGTTTCCTCTGTGTTGACCCTCCTCTTTGTAGAATGGACACTGGTTCAAGCCCATCTCGTGGGGTCTCCACGGACTCCTTGATCAAGAGAACAGGTGACCCACCACAATTGCAGGACATTTTGGGAAATGCTCATAGTCCCCTGGAATTATTCAACCTAGGATGGCAAGGAGCAAAAACTGTCATTTATATCCCCCTTACCAAATTAGTATAGGCCTCAAAGTATGTCTGTTAAACATCCAAGAAGGTTAGTTCCACCAGTCTGGTACTTTTAATTACTGTATGTCATGTAGACAAATCTTGGTCAAAGACCAATTGTTCTCAGATAAACCTTACCTAGAAGTATATTTCTTGATCTTCTATGTATAATTGGTCGGCAGGTTGTTGGACTAATATGGTTCCCTCTGGTTTTTAAAACTAGCTAGGCATTATTTATCTCTCTCATTGTCTAACCCCTTCATCATGGTTTCCCCAACTACGGTGCCCCCATTTCCCCCCTTTCTCCCTTAATAATACCCTTCTCCTATGGTCCTACCTCTCCTGAGCTCATTCTTTCCCTTTATCCCCTAGGTTCCTTGTATACGGTTCCTTCCCCCCTCCCTTAAACTAACCTAATTTTTATCCATACCTGCCTTATTAATGCCTGTTTCCTACTGCTCTTCGCTTTCAGGTTCTTTCTTTTCCCTTACCTCCCTGGTTCCTTTCCATTATCCTGGTTCCTGTAGTTATGTCTGGATACATACTCACTTATCAGGATTTGGTTCTAGGATCCACATATGAGGGAGACTATATGTCAATTTTTTTTCTGAGTCTGTGTTACCTCACTTAGTATAAAAGTTTCTAGTTCCATCCATTTACCTGCACATTTTATGATTTCATCTTTCTTTACTGCTGAGTAAAATTCTATCATATAATTGAACCACATTTTCATTATCCACTCGTCAATTGAGGGACATTTAGGTTGCTTCCATCTCTTAGCTATTGTGAAAAGAGCAGCAACAAACATGGATATACAAGTGTCTCTGCAATAGGATGAGTTCTTTGGGTATATGCCAAGGAGTGGTATAACTGGGTCAAATGGTAGGTTCATTTGTAGTTTTTTAAGAGTTCTCCACACTTCTTTCCATAGGGGTTGAACAAGTTTCCATCCCCACCAGCAGTGTATGAGTGTTCCCCGTTCCCAACATCCTCTCCAACATTTGGTATCATTTGTTCTCTTGATCTTAGCCAGTTTGACTGGGGTAAGGTGAAATCTTAAAGTGGTTTTAATTTGCATTTCCTTAATTACTAGTGATGTTGAACATCTTTTTAAGTTGCTTCTTAGCCATCTTTACTTCTGAGAACTCTCTGTTCAGCTCCTTATCCCATCTTTGATTGGGTTACTTCTTGTCATGACTCTCTGTTTTTGGAGTTCGTTATATATTCTGGATGATAAACCTCTGTCAGATGTGTCTCTGGTGAATATTTTCTCCCATTCTATGAGTTTTTTCTTCACTTCCCTGTTGCTTCCTTTGATGTACAGAAGCTTTTTAGTTTAATGAGGTCCCATTTGTTGATTCTTGACCTTGTTTCCTGAGCAACTGATGTCCGGTTTAGAAAATCCTTTCCTATACCTATATCTTGTAGGTTTTTACCAATGTTTTCTTCTAATAGTTTTAGAGTTTCAGGTTTTATATTGAGGTCTTTGATCCATTTGGAATTGACTTTTGTGCAAAGTGAGAGACAGAGGTTTAGTTTCATTCTTCTACAAGTGGAGATCCAGTTTTGCCAGCACCATTTGCTGAACATGCTATCTTTCCTCCAGTGAATGTTCCTGGCCCTTTTGTCAAACATAAGGTGGCTGAAATTACATGTACTCATATTTGGATCTTCAGTTTTGTTCCATTGATGTATGGGTCTATTTTTGTGCCAGTACCATGTTGTTTCTATGACTATAGCTCTGTAATACAACTTAAAATCTGGTATAGTAATCCCCCCCGGCATTGCTCTTAGTGCTCAGGGTTGCTTTGGCTATCCAAGGTCCTTTGTGCTTCCATACAAATCGTAGGATGGCTTTTTCCAAGTCTGTGAAAAATGTCGTATGCATTTTGATTGGCATTGCATTGACTCTATAAATGGCTTTTGGTGGGATGGTCATTTGCACAATATTAATTCTTCTAATCTGTCAGCATGGGAGGTCCTTCCATCTTCTTAATGTCCTTGGTCAGGTTTATTCTGAGATATATTATTATTTTTTGCAGCTATTGTGAAGGGGAGTATTTCCATGTGCTCTTTCCCTGATTGCTTGTTATTGGTATATCATGCAGCTATTGTGAAGGGGAGTGTTTCCATGTGCTCTTTCTCTAATTGCTTGATACTGGTATATAGAAAGGCTATAGACTTTTGTAGGTTAATTTAATATCATATCATCTGCAAAAAGGGATAATTTGAGCTCTTCTTTTCCAATTATTACTCCTTTAATTTCCTGCTTTTGTCTTATTGCTCTTGCAAGAGTTTCAAGCATTATGTTAAGGAGAAGTGGAGATAGTGGACAGCCTTGTATGGTTCCTGATTTCAATAGAAATGCTTCCAGTTTTTCTCCATTTAGAATGTTGTTGGCTGTGGGTTTGTTATACATGGTTTTAATTACGTTGAGGTATGTTCCCTCCAGTCCAATTCTCTCTAGAACTTTAAACATAAAAGCATGTTGAATTTTGTCAAAGGCCTTCTCTGCATCTATTGAGATGACCATGTCGTTTTTGTCTTTGAGCCCATTTTATGATTTATGGTGTTTATTGACT